TTTGGGCAACCCTTGATGTTCAAAATCTTTTGTCACCTGCAGCTCCCAGCGTATCCTCTCCTTGTCAGACCTTCCATCCCTGTAACTTGATTATCTTCCACACACACAGGTTGTCAGATGCAATGGCCATTGCTTTGGGAGGATCCAACATGTTTAGTGCTCATTCTTTGTAGAGGAGGTTTCTCTAGAAAGGAGACTTCCTCTGCACAGCTGGCCAGTACATGGGGGCAGGCACATACCCTCAGACACTGCATCCACCACAGATGGTGAGACAGGTCAGGCCAGTCAGGGATGTTCTGATGGTTCTTCCAGGGACAGGAAAGAGTGAAGAGCATTTTAAAAAAGGATTTAGATGTTACACTTCAGTGCAACATCCTAAAATTCCTCCTATAACGTGATATTAGGGATCTGCATTTAAAGCCCGCTATTATTATTTAGAATCCGCCATTAGAACCTTGCTGGTTTCTCATATGCCACCATCTCCTGGCCTTCCTGAGTCACGATGAAACCAGACAGCTGGCAGAGCTAGACTAGAGGCCTGAAGAAGAGGACTGTGAAATACAGGAGGTGCTGTGAAGATCCTCTTTGTCCATGGTGCCAAAGAAAAGCCCTGTAGAATAACTCCACCTGATTTAAAGAGCTGTTGCTTCTGAACAGCAGAAAACCTCACCAGAGTAGGATATACTGCAGCTCTGCAAATGGAGAAGATGTTACATACAGAGTGAGGGCCATTATACCTCAGCTGTGGCTGTGAGAGGGGGAGGCAAAGATCCTTGCCAGATCCTGGTGATTAGGAAGGGGACAAAGCAGATGTCCTCAGTGTGAATCCAGTGACGAGTCTTCCTTGCTCTTCCCTCCTCCCCACATGGTCCTCCCTCACAGCTCCCCAGCCTTCCAGCCTTGACTACAGGGGGAACTTTGGACTGCCCAGGACACATGGAGAGAAAAATGAAACCTTGGGGCTGGAAAGGCCAAGACAGGGGCAGAGCACAGCCAGAGTTGGTCCTGTAAGTACAGTTCTGATTTTGAGGGTTGGTGTGGGAAGATGTATGTACCTATGAAAATGCCTGGTATCCACATAAGGATGATTCCCACAGGTTTTTATCTTTCTGTGTGCTTATGCATTGTTCTAAATTGGCCATGAGGGCATGGTTACCTACTCCAAAAGGCCAGTGTGTGCTGAGGCATGCAGGGCATCTGAGGAGTTGCAGTGTGTCCATATGAAAACATGCCACAATTTTTTCCTGCTGATCAGGTTCATATACAACTGTTTATGAGGTAATTTGGTTTGCTTAGCAATGTTGTTTCTACTCCTCAACTACAAATGTTGGGCCAGAACCCTGCAGTGACCCTGAGGAAAGGGGCGCATCTGAAAACCAAATACCCAGTGTTTGACTTTAGCAAGAGCTATTGCCCAGTCATCTGGACTTCTCTCATTTCACCTGTGCACAGAAAGGCACCTAATTGTAAAATGAAAGCAGTATAAATCTCAGGGAATGTGATCTCTGTGGACAGAAAATATCCCATTGTAAAAAAAATCTTATGACAGACCACACAATCTCTGATCTGACAGTCTAAAGATTGTTTTAAGAAATGGCTTCTCACTGCTGTAGTACGTGACCAATAGTGTCAGACCGACTCCATCAACTTTGTATGCAAATCTGCTCAAGTACTGAAAGACTTTCTGCTAACTGAAGTCTTAATTTAAAAGAACAATTGTTACTAGAACAATATTCCTGTGAAACTTTCAGTGAAGGAAATCTTCTTTCCCTGTCTTAATTTCATAATTGACTGTTTCGAATGAAACTTTCCAAATGTCATCTTGAAGTAGCACCTGGCAGGCAACCATGAGAATGAGAGTCTAACACAGTTATAAGTGATTGGAAGCAGAGTCTTATAATGCAAAGTGCCAGGCAAGCTTAATAACAGCCTGTGTTGCTAACCCCCTATGAGAGAATGGAATATTTTTATTCACTATATTGGTTTTGCTGAAGTTCTGTAGGTGGCAGATTTTAGCATGTGCAGAATAAATATTTCCTGAGAAATATCACTGAAGAAGAAATTAATTTGAATTATTAATTAAGGTGTTAGGCTAGCCAAATTAAGTACAGATAATGTTCATATTAATTATTCTGGCATTTCACTGATCTCTTTTATACCTAGCTTTTTAATAGCACTGCAGATCTACCTCATCCTCTTCCTATCCTGATCTGACAGGAGAAATGGCATGCAAAAGTGTGGCTTTTTGAAAGGCACCTTTCTGCCCTTCTGTAAATGTCAATAAATTTCCATGTAATGTATGAATCAGTTTTCACTTCAATTTAGTAGGGGGTTAAGGGAAGGATTTTACCTCTTCTGAAGTATTTAATAGAACCAATAGCAATATATATTTTCAAGGGGATCTTTCTATGCTTATCCAGATTCTTTTGGTACTAGTTGGAAACTAGTAACTGCTTTCAACAGGTTTGGAGTCAGTCCCTAAACTGTTATTACAATTTATGAAAGTCTGAATTCCATGAATAATTGAGTCATTCTTCAGAAGCAATTGTAAATATTTTTAGACCAGCTTCTGAGAAGAAACTACAAACACACACACACACACATACACTAACAAAACCCAGTTAAAACTGTGGCAATGGTAATGCTCTGCTTTAATTCAGACACATGGCAAAATCTGCAGAGAAACCATGCTGCAAACCTGCTTTGCACTCATTTCTACATTTATCACTGACATAAGCTCACTACCTCTTTTCTTTTTTCTAAATAAAAAGTGCACGGATGCTGTCTTACATTTATTGTGATATTGGCTGCTTACCTGATAGCACAGGATTCCTCCTGCTATATTCACACTATCTTTACATGGAAATAAAAGCTAGTAGATGAGCAATTTACCTTCATTGTGGGCTGTCTAATCCAGCACAATTCAATACACCAGTTTACATTAACAGGTCTTGTTCGCCATATTTTCTCTTCATAATTTCATAGTCTTTTTAAACACCTTCCTATCTTGACTCTTATGTCACAACTCCAAATGTTTTCTTGCTGTGTAGGCAGCAGACCTATATTTGGCAAAAAAGAGTTGTGAATCCTGGATCCAAAACAGGATACAGAAAGGTCCATAAAAACATAGCTGACAGATCTGAAGCAAGTCTGCATTTTGAGGGAGAGGATGAAGAGTTTTCAGCAGGAAGAAAAAGTTCTGAAATCAGTTTTCAGTTGAGTACCTGCAAAGCAAGATGGCTACAAATCTGTAATCATCATGCTTAATTAATGCCATGGATTAACCTCATAGATGAAGAAGCTGAATATGTACTTTTTAGGAAGACTGAGAGAATTTTGTTGTGGGGTTTTGGGGTGGCCCCACAGAGTGGCACTGTGCTCTTGCTGCTGCTGAGCCCTCTTTGCCTAGATGCTGCAGGTGGGTGACCAAGAGATGAAGGTTTTCCAAAGCGAAGAGCCAGAGCAGCAGTACCAGGTTCAGAGAGCAGCAGGCTGAAGTGGCACAAGGCGCCGCTGTAATCAGCAGCCTACAGGGTCAGGGCACCATTGGCACTTTGGTAGGGTTTGTGGAATGCAAGAAGAAAGCATTGCAGCATTCTTCTGTGGAGGAGAGGTAAAGCTGTGGGAGATCTCAATCGCATCTGGGGGAACAGAATGGGAAAATGCATGGGGCAGGATATGGATGACAATTCTGGAGGAGGAAGTCTTGACAGGATGCAGAGAGAGGGGGTCAGGGAAAGTAAGTATTGACATATTTGCTGACAGGATCATATGCTGAGAATGGGAAGGACAGTTTGTCCTACACTGTGGTTATGTTTAAAAGAATTAATCAAAGATTGGGAACTGGCACTCTATCTGTCCCTAACAACACACTCTTCAGAATGCAACTAGAGCTCTAAGATGGAGCATGTAGATTTTGAAGCCTAAGTGCAGGTCACTTCAGAAATTATTTTTTCAGCTTCTGCTCCTTTGAAGTAACTTTTCCATTCTGTTCAAGGGTATACACTGAGGAATGTGTTCAAGAGCTAAAATACCAGCAGAAACTGTACATGTATTTGCATCCTGTTCCCTAACTCAACAGAGAGCAATGTTCTGCTCTTGCACTGTCCTTGGGAGAAATGGCTGTAGTGCAGAAAGAGTTTCTTGTTGAGTAACCACATAGTGATGTTGTAGTGATGAGGAATTTATTAGTCTATGCACTGCTGACCTGCATGGTATTTTAATTACAATTTTTCATCTAATCATGGTATATGAAAGGAAAGCAACTTACATTTACATTTCTAATTCTTCTAAATGTGGGTGCTACACCAGTCAGTCATGCTGAGGGATTGACAGCAACTACCTTCATGTGAAAATTTGGTGTAGTGAGTGGTGTCATCTTTGTTCCCTTTTTGAGTTGCTAGGCATTATCCTGTGAACTTCTTCATTTCTCCTATGGCTTGTTCAGGGCTAACAACAGTATGCCAATTATATGACAACAAAATCCCCAAACCTTCAGTTCATGCAATAGCAGCTGTTTGGTGGAAGTGCAACAATGTGTAATGGGACATACAGAAAGTCACCTGGGAGCAGTGAGGGGGAAGAGGAGAGACTGCCATGAACAGATGTACAGAATTTATAGTGATTCTCATAGCTCTGCATAAGACTTATTTTAAAAACACAAGATTTTTTTAAAAAAAACCAATAGGTTCATACAGGATGTTCCCTAACTCCTTTCTGCAGAGTTGCTTGGACATAAAGTGAAAAGCAGCCAAATGTTGTTGTCCATAGTGGGGAACCTGGGAGATGGTGGATTCACTAATGACGGATCTTCCCCAGTGCTTCTTATTGTTCAGGCCATGCCTCTCTAAGTAATTAGATATATGTTGAATTTTCAATTTGGCAGAACTCGTATACAGTACCCTCATATCATAGTGCAACAATTTCTTTCACACAGTTTGTGGGGGCTGAAAAAGGGAGTAGTATTTGTGACAAGATGGCAATGATAAGGCAGATGTGTCTTTGTACACAGTAGTAAGATTTTATTTCTCAACCAACAGGAATTCAACACAGCAGTGAATAAGAAGAGAAGCTGCCAGTACTCCTCTTGGCACTGTTTTAATCCTCCACATGGCCTTTCATGTAGACTCTTCTGGTGCTCCCCATGATCTCAGTTATTCCTGCAAGACCTGTAAAAATTTTACAAAAAGAAAATTCCTTTTCTAAAAGCTTAGAAAAAGCTACTTAAAATGAGAATTAATGAAAATTAAAATGAATGTACTTGATAAAAAATATATTTTATATATAGTATCTCTTAAATATCTTGTTTGTAAATTAAAGAAAAAACAACATAACAAACCAGCAACAAAAGCCTCCTCTCATACTAAAGATTTTATTAGACTACTTTTGTAATAATTCTTTTCCTCTTTTTGATAGTCTTGAACTATCTCATCACAGCTTTAATTAGGATAACCTTTTATCTGTTTATGTTCTACAGTGACATTTTAAGATTGGCCTTCAGTGAGAGCTTTGGGTGATGTGTACACTGAGGCTTTGGAAACTTCTTCTGGACAAGCTGCCAGCAAACAATTACCCATCTAAATGTCAATAAGCCAGACATCAGTTGTCAGTTTGCATCATTTCTAAAAGCCTGCTCTCTCTGTAGACTACATCAAAAGCAGAATGCACACTTTAAAAAATAGAACTTGATTTTGATCATGTGTTAAGCATTTTTATCCCTAGGGACTTGGATAAATGGTGTAATACTTCAGAGCATTTAACTTACTCTTGTGCTGTTCCAAAATCAAAATATTTACAGATAAATTTTTAGAATATTGAGCAGAGGCCCTAAAGTGTTTTTTTAAATATAAAGTTACATCAAAAAAAGATGTTTACTGAGAGGAAAAATACTCAATGGCAGTTTTAAAGAAGTATGAGTACTAACATTTGTGTGTGTTATGGGAGCATGGATTGGAAAGTAGTTGTGGCTGATGTTGAGTGCATCTAGTGATGAGACCATGTGTTTTACAGATCAAAAATACTACTGTTGAAGAAAACACTATTTACTTTCACTGTCATGTAGCCATTTTTTTCCCACCTCGTATTGGTGAGTTAACTTCTGTATCAGAACAAGAAAATCACTAATTATTGCCAGCAAGGTAAGCTAATTTTATTAGCAGCAAGCTAATTTTAATTCTCTTGGTGTTTCACTGTTTCTCTCTTTTGGCACATCCAGATTTTTCTGGATTGGTAGGAGATGTACATTCCTTTCAGTAGGTTCCATGGCTAGGACAGCTTCTAACATAATCTTCCTCTTCATTGTAGTGATATACTTGAATAAGAAATTACAAAGTATTTCCATTTATAAAAATATGAAAATGAATGCTGTACTTGATAAATATATGTATTAATGAAAAATACCTTAAAATGTGAAGAAAATAATCCACACAATGATTCTACCCTCCTTTCTTCCTACCTTTCCTGACTAAAGGACATGTATTTTTCAATTATTGACCATCCAAAACAATTTAAAACCTCCAACAGGGCCATAATCATGGAACCACAGAATGGTTTGAGTTGGAAGGGACCATTAAAGATCATCTATTCACAGTCCCCCTGCAGTGGGCAAGGACACCATCCACTAGACCAGGTGGCACAAAGCCCCATCCAGCATGAACTTGAACAACATCCTGGGATTGGACACTCACAATGAAGATATCAGACCCACTTCTCTGGATACAGACTGTAAAATCTTAGTTACCTGCTTAACCAGCTACAACACACATTTAATAAAAGCTCCACTTGCTTTTGATGCTGCTACTCTTGCAGAAGCTCCATTGTCTGTGCTTAGACTTTGGGCTTGGCTTTGTCCTCTTAGGGTTTGATGGAAAAAGCAAAGCACAGCATGATAATCCTGTCATTAGATCCTCCACCAACTTACACCTCTCTGATGAACCACTCCCTTTCCCATTCCCTCTTCGTCTCCTCCATGTGCTTTAATTGATATTCATTTCAGAGCTAAGAAAAGATTTGCCCCAGAGATAGATGAAGCAGTTATGATTGTATTTCAAAGATTTATACTTGATCTACAAATCTATGACATAAGTCCCTCATATATCACCTCTTGATCACAGCATTTTACTTTGGCATGTGTCTGACAGACAAATTGATCAACTCTTCTATCCCAACCAAACCTCTAATATCCCTTCTTAGGTTCTCTTTTACTTTGGCCTTTATCACAACTGTAGAGTTGCAGGGAGATACGTTATGCTACCTCTACCTGGTAATAAAATAAATAATGGGAGATGGAGAGATCCCTTTGGTGTTGACTCCATCTGCAGAGCTTGGAAGTCATTCAGTGGTTAATCAGGGACATGCTATTGTTGTAAAGTTACTAACTTGACTTATTACCAAACTTCTCCCTGTCTACAGAGTTTTACCGAGTGTAATGATGTACTTTACCAGTGAGATGTACTGACATAACTCTCAACACTACATATCATCAGAAATACTGTTAATATAATTGTTACCACTGGGAGCCAATCAATGGATGAGCTGAAGATCTTCCTCTTAGTAAGCAAAAAAATACATACTACAATATATTTGTTTTACTGTTGGTTGCTTTTCTAATACACACTTTTTCTCTCTGTCACATCAAATAATCTCTGTTAGTCTCTTTTGACTTGAATAAACCAAAGAGAATATGAAAATTGCTCATCTGTGCCTTCGACTGTGTAGTGGTTTATCCCACCTGGCAATTCAGCCCCACACAACTGCTTGCCGACTCCCCCCTGGTGGGAGAGAACTAAAAGGGCAAAGGTGACAAAACTCGTGGGTTGAGATAAAGTTTATTAAGTAAAGCAAAAACTGCATATAAGCAAAGCAAAACAATGTGTGCATTCACTGCTTCCCATGGGCTGGCAGGTGTTCAACCATCCCCAGAAAAAAAAGGTTCCATCCCATTTAATGGTGTTTTGGGAAGAAAAACAACAGTACTTTGCACATCCTCCCTTCCTTCTTCCCCAGATTTATATGCTGAGCCTGATGCCATATGATCTGGGATATCCCTTTGGTCAGATGGGGTCAGCTGTCTCAGATGTGTTCCCTTCTAAATTCTAGTCCACCGCCAAACACCTTGCTGTGGGAGTGGGGTGAGAAGAAGAAAGAGTCTTGACTCTGTGCAAGCACTGTTCAGCAATGACAAAAACATTCCTGAATTATCAATACAGTTTCCTGCACAAATCCAAACCACAGGCCCATGTCAGCTACTATGAAGAAAACTGACATTATGCCAGGCAAGACCAGCACGTGCTGTGTGAAGAAATGAATGTTATAATGACATGGCTGGGATGCTGTTGCAATTGGATTTGCATTCTACAGAAATCATTCCTCTTTAGTAATCTAAAAGGCAGCAAGTCAACGCTGTGATCGAGGCTTCACTATAGTCAGGGGATGGAGGGTGATTCCTGCCACTTCTTTTAGCCATAAGCTCAGAATTAAATGAAGCACACTGTGGAGATGCATCCAGTCACACATTGCACTGGAAACAGAGATGTGCAAATAAAATTAGGTATCCAAAGCAAACACATTGCTCATGGCTGTTTAACAGCCTGAATTAGCTTGTGTAAAAGTAAAACCTTACCATTGATGTCCACAGCACCAAACCCATTTTCAAACAGCAGAATAGTTATAATATTGTGTTACTGCCTTGTGCTAACAGTTGTGCTAATGATAGCGCTGATATGTGATCACTGAAATTACTCAAGACATAAAATTGGATGACAATTATTTCTGAGGATGGATTTCTTGTTCACACATAAATCTCTATTTCTTTGCCCTTCTTTCATTATCAGACAGCTCATGGCTCAGAAAGAAATGGCTTTTCCATTTTAGAGCTGGATTAGATCACCTCCATTGAGGAAGCATTATGAAACCAGCATAGTTACCTACTGAGTATTGACTGAAAGTTGTACTTGTAAGTGATTCATCTCTTCATGTGTTCCTAAGCACTTATTAAAAAAAAATATAGGCCTAAGACAGATCAAATAGAAAAGGATAGAAGGGATTCAGAGGGATCAAAGTGAGAAAAGGTTACTCCCAAAAGCCTTCTGAAATGGCAGTCTTCAGCACTGAACTGAAAGTACTCCACAGTTATTATCTATTTGCGAACAGAGCTTGGAGCATGCCAACAGGGAAATGGTCTTTCCTCTGTAGGGATCATTCTATATCCCAAACAAAACCTTGTTTCTTAAATTACACTTGTCTTATGAATTAGGAACTTCCAGCTCTCTTTCTGCATTCCTTTTGCATTTGTGTAATTTACCCTAAGTGTTGCTATGGCGTGCAGTGGGATGGCACAGCACTGATTGGAGCAATATTGCTCTGGCAGCTGAGCTTACTCAAAATGTTCTAACACTCAAGGTATTTCTGAGCATGCATAAAACTTCATTTAGACTTGACATATTGTTTATGATATCTCCTTGTAAGTTGTTCATTCACTGTCTATCATTATGAATTATAGGCTCAGGATGACACAGTCTTTTGAAACAGCTTGGTTCAAAAACAGAGTTACTTTTTGTTGATAATCCCGTCCTAAAAATCCACTTTTTTTTAGTTTTGGGATATATTCTTACTAATATGTTCTATATTCATTAAAGATTTTTGCAAGTCAGTAAGCATCTCTTTACTTTGCACACACCCTAAATGATATAAATTCTTCAGAATTCTCAACATCTCTTCTTTTGGCTTATTCTGAATCTTCTGCTCTTCTTACCCATTCCTCATGTAGCTCAGACATCTTGTACTGCAGCATTTCATTTACTTTTTTTTCATTTGTATGTTAACTGAAATTCAGGCTGTCAGAATGTTACTGCACATAACATCACCTTAGAGTCATGGCTTAAGTTGAAATTTGAGTTGAAACTTCCTCAAACAAGACATTCTCTATGTTAAATTTCATTAATGCCCAATCACATATATCTCCTAGTGATAAGTTTAGCTACAATTATATCACTTTCAGAGACAGCATTTGAGCCTCTGTTCCCCATAGCCCAAGAGAACTGGCTGTGCTAAGGAGGACCATCTTCTTTTGTACCTATTCAACCTGCACTATTTTGTATAGAAAATTACTTATTACACCAGGGGCAGGACAGAAGATAGGGATAAAGGAGAGAAAGTGAGAGACACTATC